AGTAAATAGACCACTCATCTATTTAGAAAATTCCCTGAATTTTATGGAACTAAGGGTTCACTACCATATCCACAAAAGTCCGCCACTGGATCTCAACCTGAGCCAGATAAATCCAATCTATGCTATAACATCCTATTTGTTTAATATATGTTTTAATATTATGATCCATGTACAACTAGGTTACTCAAGAGACTTAATTAAAATATCTTGAAAATTGTTACGATCATTTTATAAATTGGACACCATTTTTAAAATTATCTTAACATCTAGAACAGTCCCCACGAGCTTCACAGCAAAACACTGGGTCGTCCAACTCTGTAGAAAAATCTAAACCACGAGCCACCAATCATATCTGCAGTTGTCTCTGAGCATTTGTTCCACAAACTTCGAAATCTCGAATTAAGTTACCCTTGAATCACAGGCTGCGGCCTTCGAATGGCTAAGCGCACTCTGGCAAGCGATCTAGAAGCCCGCGATGTTATCTCTGGCACCCAACTGAACCCAACAGCTTTTCGCTGTCACTCTCTTTACCTATGACAGCGTACGCGGAACGCAAACACGCGTGCCCATGTACTACATGAATACCTTTCGATTTAGGAAAGAAAGTGAAAGCTACATAACCAGCACGATTTATATGCCGTATTATTTAAAATTACTTAAACTTTATTAAATTTTAAATGGACGATTTAAGATTCTCTTATTTCCGGAATATGGGCCAGTAGCGGGCATAGGAAACGACTGTAACATGAGGTACTGGTTTCTTTAAAAACAGGAACAATTTTACGACTTTGCGACAAGAAAATAAGTCTAAAAAACTGTTATACACTCTATATGTACACTACACGAAAGCAAGCAATATAAGTCATATGCCATAACACGTAAAACAAAACGCTTGATAAATTTAAGGGAACAATAATAAACAAATAATATTAATTACGTATTTACGAGAATAAATTCTTAAAATGCACGGTATTACTCAGTTAAAAAAAATTGTATCGTCCAACCTGTTTTTCAGAACATTAATAAACATTTTTTGTATTCATTGTGTTGGGTGTGAAACACGGTCTATTATTCTGAAGGAATAACATGAACTATATGAGTTTGGAAACAGAATTACGGGTAAATATAATCGTGTTTAACCTAAGTTATTATGTTCGCTTGTACACATTTTCAAATGATAGATTTGGTATTTTCGTATTTTTACTATATTTTATTTTCCGTCCTATAAATATCTTTATTTGGTCCATAATCTGAAAACTCCGTTCTCTTTATCAGCAATGCCATTCAGTAGGCCTGCAAATTGTCAGATGAAGTGGGAGTGAGAAGATATTGGGAATTTATTTATACATAACAAATATATTACAATTTAAGTCTTTCAGTCAAAAATCTTCAGTGAATACTGCAAACGGGAGATGCGTGTACGATGGTCTCCCCCACACTGCAGCTGAAACACGAACTCAGAACCACGTGGTGTCCGAGGTGCAGACCATGAAATGTAACCTAGACAATTCGCCCGCCTGAATACACGTCATACTGAAACGGACGGAATGACGGGACTCCAAAGTAATAAATACGTTCTTAATAAATAGGCATACGTCACTGACTGTATTCATTACGTGCTGTCCAAAGAGCGGATAAATATTATGAAACCACTGCTTCCAGTTTAACATACAAGAAATATACGGAATACACTCTCTGACTCGTCCTTCAAATTCTATTGCACTTTTAAATTAAAACACGTTGCTGGACCATGCCAAAGTGACCGTTGACGATGGTATGTTTCAAATGGAATGTTTACAACGGTCTGAATGAAAGAGGTTATCGGGCAGGACTGTGACCGACACAAAATGTCAAGGGTCTATTCATGTTCCCTGACTTGGCTCAAGCATCGATACTTTTTTAATATCAAAGATCTGCTCATACAAATTAAGGCCATAGACAACTGTAAGACATCCTCAAGGCGTTATGTTTTAGAAACATTAATTTTTCCACCCTAATCAGATTAACGATTTAATACTGTTTTTTGCCATATGCGTCACAATCGATTTTTATAGGTTTTACAACTAAAACTTCACCAGATGACATCTTCCGGAATGCAGGGCTCCAGCCACGTACTCGGAGGTGATGGGAAATCACGTCTGGTACAGACTGCACTCGTATTTTTCTAGAGTTCTCATAAATTCTTCAGGATACAGGCCCTCTGATGTCCATACAATCAAGCAACGTTAACATTCTTAAACCGGCTACTGTGCGACTGTGTGCGTTCGTTCATTAAATATTACAGCCAATATAACAGTTAACATAAGCGGAGACTGACTGGTCCCAGACAGAAATTCCACTAGCAGAGTTCGTGTAATCAAAGGAGATAAAGCAGGTAAAATACAGGAAAAGGAAAGTAGAGAACTGAAGAGAATGAAGCAAAAACGTAGTAAGAAAATTGAAGGACAGAGTAAAACGGAAGTGAAGAAATAAAGAAAGAAAGAGAGAAAGAAAGAGAGAAAGAAAGAGAGAATGAAGCAAGGAAGGAAAAAGTGAGAGCTAAGAAAGCTTGTTAAGAAGAAAAAGATGAAGGTATATGAAAAGAGAGAGAGAAAATAGGATGCTGAGGATGGATAATTTGTCCTTTGTCTCGTATTCTAGAAGAACATTTTTCTCATTCCCAGATTATTATTAATAACAGTTATGAAAGTCCAGTGTAGTTACCTCAAGTGCACTCTTCGCCACTTGCTGTCAGTCCGGAGACAGCTGATTTATTGCGTTTCACTACTCTGTCTGTCTGTGTGACGTTGTGAAATCCTATAAGACAAATGACGGTTTTCTTTTCAATGCCCATTCTCACAAAATTGTCTTTTCGTCTTGAGAATTTTTTGTTATGAACCCACGCAAAACATAATGAAGACATGTTATTTTATACCGCCGTGCGGTATCGGCAACTTCTTTGACACCTGTGCGCAGCGGGTCATTCTAAATACAGGCTTTTCAGTCCGGTGGACTATCCGCGCTGGTATCAAGGATCATTAGTTGACGTTATCCTAAATAATCTCTCGATTCTTTTCTTCCTTACACAGTCTCAAAGAGAACCCAGAAGAAGCCATCTTCATACTCGCCGCCTTGAAATCCTTAAATCCCGCAGTTGAAATCCAATTTCCTCCATATGACTCGACGTGTATAAACACCGTGTCCTAGGGCAACATACGTTTCGTTGTGTTCACAATGAGAGAAAAGGTTTTATTTCTGCATAAATGAACTGAAAGCACACGATTAAAATTATCAATTGCCGCCATGTGTATCAATATGGATTAAAAATATTCTGCATTCTCATACCTGGAAACAATTACTGAGGTCCTGTTGTTTATGCTCAAAGCGTATCAAACACAGGAGCTTCACGATCACTTCACGTTTGTTTTCATATCATCCGTGACGTCACAGACAAGCGTAACTGCTCATTCCCAGAGCCAAATAAATCCATTCATGCGAATTTACGTGGATCATTGAGTTCAAATACAATGTCAGATCATTATTTGAATGCTAATTGTTACTCTGTTGTGCCATTGTGATATTCATATCTTGTTGTGTGACGTCATAGTGTCAACCACACACTCTAATACAAAACTAGCACCAAATCCTAACGCTTCATGAGAAAACTGTTTTCACAACGCAATTTCAATGTGGGTATAATGAATCTAGTTTATATTTAACACCAGCCAGTCTTTCGTGTGTATACGGACACGCCGTTTACTCTACAAGAGGTAATAAAACCATTGGCAACATTCACTTAAGATAGTTTTTATTTCCATATCTCGTCCAAGAATATGAACATTAAAATATTCAAAGCTGTTATATCGCCCTTTGTTTTGTTGGGTTTGGAAGATGGTGTCTTAAGCTAAGTGAAGTCCATAGGCCTAGATTTATGGTGTTTGAACGAAAGTGTAAATATTTTGAACAGGGAAGGAAAAGTAAAATTATGCTACAAACAATTTCATAATGAGAAGCTGAGTGTTAAAATTACGAGAGCAATAATTATCATCTGAACCTGCGCAAAGATACTTCAGACATCGCTAGGTAAACAAAATAAGAAACGTAAATACTGTCTAACAGAAACAGAGACAAATAGAAACGATTCTATGACAAATCTCTAACGATCGTCAAGCCCCCCTCACAAGTAACTCACCCTAGATATCTCTACACTATTTGAATAGCAAAACTTAACTAACTGGATGACCACACACGCTCAGCTACGCACACAACGCATGCGTCTATTATTCCACCGACATTACGGCATCAGCCACTGGTGTGGGGTTGGACGTTAAAACTTGTCAAACTTCCGCTCTCTGGCTTGGTAACACCGGTTTACAATTTTGTACAATACTCGAAAGCTTGTATGCCTCATCACTGTCAACTCACAGCTTTCATTTACAGAACATTGAGGCTACATTTAGAAGTTGCTCTCCCACCAGACAGAAAGGAGTTAAGACTACACGGAAACTGGATCCGATCCATGCCTGAGAGACGTAAGTGGCTTGTTATACACCTGTAGTATTATTGAACTTCACACACAGAGTCCTTTGTCCATGGCTGGTTCTTGGTGTAACTGATCCAAGGACGGGTTGCGGCAGATTTCAGCCTGAACAACATGAAGGAAGGATCGAAATCAAGATGAGTAAAAACAAAGAAACAATAACATGTGCTCTGATCAGTTACATTGTCTTGCACATATGAATTTCCGACCTGTGGTTTGAATCGTAACTCCATGACGGAGCAGAGTTACTGAGTCGACAGTCAATAAATTCCACGTCTCTTATGAAGCCCCAAAGTTCATTGTCGTGTTCAATAGAACCCTCCACTGGTGCATATCCTGATATAAATAAAAACAGTCCACACCCTCATACTATTAATTCAAAATAAATGTTATTATTGTCCTCCGTACTTAAATATACGAAGTACACATTGTGCAACATTTTGCATCTGCATGTAGCCTACCGAAGGTAAACAGAAACTTACTGAAAAGGAAAATATATGATATTTCGCTGTAAACAGGTTTCAGTTAGTTTGTTATATTAAATCGCACTTTAGGTTTTTATAATTCGTGAATGCTTTCCATCACTCCGTCAAGGTAGAGTGAGGTTATCTTACTATTCCCCTTAACGTCATTCAATGACGCACTTAACTGCGTTTCCTTCGGAAACGAAGTAATTACGTCACACCAAGACGAGAATGAACCCTGCGTGCTATCGCCTGACCTCTGATCCTCACAATCACTCCTCTGGAGACAGTCTGGCGTATGCATTCCCCCCTCTGAAGACGTTTCAAGATCGACACCGGTAATCACGAAGTAGATGCCTTCTGAGTATGGCCTCAGACTCCGTTTTATAGTTGGTGCTTTGTGTAGAATTATCATTAATACTGGATTTTAGCGCCTTGTAATCTGGTAGAAATTTACCAACGTTTAAGAGGTCTCTCCTGGCATCATCAGGGCGCCAGAACCCAGAAGATAGCTAAATCTGTACTCGCTGCCCTGAGAACCTCATGTCCCGATCACCAACGCTGTTTTATATTTTCTCATACGTTTTAGAATTCTACGTTGACTCTCGGGTTAAGTTATTTTGTCTTACGGTAACCCTAAAGACACAGGCCACACCACCTGTTGCAGATCTTGCGAAACACAGAAATTGTTACACTAACCAACAGCGGTAGCATTCTACAAGATTAATAAACGTAATTCAGATTGAGTGTTAATCAACAGTGTAGACGCTTTTTAGACATGCTGAGGCCTTAAGCTATGACAAGCTTAATAAAATAACTTTAATGGAAAGAAGACTATATACGAAAAGTATTAAAAGTTAACAAACACAAATATTAAATGAAAATCTAATAGAAGGTGGGTCTACTATAAATACACACAACACATTTAATTGTTGTAATAATTAAATATTTTTACATTTTATGTAACATAACAAAACTAGGTTAAAACGTCTTATTCTAAGACACTTCACTTGTTTAAACCCACAATACGTGCTGTGAATGTGCAGAAATAGCAAAGCCAAAATGATCATATCATGCCCCAGCGACAAAGCTAAGAAATTCGCTTGCATTAAGTTATGAGAGCATTAAATATAATCAAACCAAAGCCACTTTTTGTGAATGAGATGGGGAGATTGTCAGATTCAGAAGGGAGGGAGAGTGGTCAATTTCGAAGAAAACACAACAGCATTTTCCTGAATAAATTGAGGAAAATCACGAAAATCTGATTCAGGATAGACGGTAAATTACTACTACCGTAAGTTACCGTTACAGCGTACTTTTCGATTTTACTGTGTAGCTGGAAATCGTGGCTTGGTTTTTCCAAACCCTCCTGCAGCTTTTGAATTCTATCGGATGGCCGGAATTTGTTAACTGCGACGAGGGAGTTCCAGGAACGCCGAGAACCCAACTAACGACCCAAGTCATGCAATATTCATAAGTAATAGGTTTTTGTATTGTGGCGCTTTTAACCCTGAAATGTTTGGTTTAAGTGCCTATTTACGACTGCAAATAACTTGCTTTACGTTTCTCCAAGCAGTAGCTCGAAGAAAGAAAATAATCTTCTGGTAAAACTATATAATTACCTTAGTTTTACCATAAGATAGTATAATTGCGTCATATTGTGAATCAAATATTAAATTAATTATTCGGTTTTGTCCGTCTAATCATAATTATATTTAAAATTTAAAATTTACAAATAAGATAATTAAATTATCATTTTATGTTCCACATCGAATAATCGATGTTCCAAATATAAATCGATTATTCGATGTGGAACATAAAATGATAATTTAATTATCTTATTTGTAAATTTTAAATTTTAAATATAATTGTGATTAGACGGACAAAACCGAATAATTAACTTAGTTTTACCGTAAAACGCTGATAACCGTTTCAATACTTTTTTTTGTTTCCGTTGTTGAGACATAAACAATAGTTTCATAATGCTGTATATTAGGATATTGAATTATTAGTTTGTTTACCTACTTTTCGGCATTTAAATGATCAACAAACGATGAGCAGAGACTTGTAAAATTGCAAGTTCAATGTGTTAGACCTTCGGTGGTGTTCTCCAGTTCTGTCAAATTCTCTTGTTTCAAGTATTTACCAGTTGCAACAACTTAACTCTTTCCTAGTTTTATCACTAACGACCGAGTTAAAACACATCATAAATGTCCGCGGTTCTAATTTATCTTGGCCTTAATTTTTATCCTGAATGTAGGGCAGTAGTCAATGTCATAATTTATGATACGTAAAATTAAATCTGATGAACAGAATGACGCTATATCATTATTAGTAACAGAAGAGTTACGACTGCATAACCTTGGCCCTGAACTAAAAAATTCGCTCATTTCATGTCATAAGTTCACTTTACACTTGCTGTTTTTTGTTGTTCGCCCTTTGAATTTTAAATCTTATATTCATAATATTTGCAGATGAAATTATTATTTATTCAGCAAGAATCCAAAAGTTTCAGGCGACATAGTACGAACCAATACCAGACGAATTCCTATGCTGATGTTTTGTTTAATACTGACAAATAAAACTGTCCTGTTGTGATTTGTTTTTTAATTAAATGTCATCCATAGGATGTCCCCAATAACAACTGTTAAACTAACTGACAGATTGTAGTCAAACTGCGTAATGCAGAAGAAGCCAGTGTGTTTTCGTACGTTAAAATTTTCTACCATCAATAACACCATCAAAGTAACTGCAAACTTCTGGGGAGGGGCTAACATTAGCTTCATTTAATATAGGTTTATAAACGTATATATTGTAACAGGTCATCGAAAAGTATGTAAATCTGATTACTTCAATAAGTGGTCTGTTTATTACTCCGCATATTAAAAAAGTCACGTGTTTCCTGATTCAACTCATGTGAAGTGAGCTACATTCAAAGAATTTGAATTTTAAATACCGATATTGTTTTGTTAAAACCAGGTGCATTGAAACACATACATGTTGAAGATGACTGTCACCTGGCATGTTGTACCACGTAGAGGATTGCCGACGTTTCAGAGGCGTTTACTCTCTCCAGTATCAGGACAATCGATTTTGTATTTATTACGGTTTTAAATAGAAATGTTTGTACGTAAATACTCGTACATGAACCGAGTTGAAACAGGTGGGGTAAAGGTTTTGCTGTAAAATCCGAACTTCGGGGCTACCATATCACAGTTATTGGACCTAGACACACGCGCGGTCGCGGGCATGCACACGAAACGTATGATGTAATGTGTAAATTCGCAGAAACTACTGAGTGCGATGAATTCGTTACATCTGCAGTGCAATTAACAAATGTTAGCCATAAAAAATGAGGAAACGCGGTCAGCAAATTGCTAATTAACTTGCAATATTTTATTTCCAAGAAACGTTTAAATTATATTTACTCCATTTTCAGTCAGACATTTCCTGAAACAAGTAAAATACAGGTTCATCAAAAAAGAAAATCGTGATTTAGTTCTATTAATAGCTTTTATCAATAAGTGGTTACAAATCCTCTGTCGTTTTTGGGCGATTCATACTTTTAGAAATGCTTAAGTTATATTGTCTATTTGGTCTAAACATTATTTAGCGAAGTTGAGTCCAGTAGAAAAGTTCAGGCGAATTTTTTTTTCCAGTACGATGAGCTGAAAATATGTTGGCAATGAAGTAGGCCTACTCGTGGCTTGCTTTGGTTCATATCCCGATTTTCATCTGCGAATAATGATGAAAGCACATGAACTGCCTACCCGCAAAAATTAGCTCAAACGCTATATTAAAGCTAAAACTAGGCTAACAGAAGTATTTGTAGTGGAATTTCCTTCAAACTGAATGGAATGGTGAGCGTTATGACTTGAGATAGTCACAGGCTAGCTTGAAAGATATTCCGTCCCGTACATTCAGCTGCTCCATATCAGTTTTGCCTACAGGCAATACAAACTTGGCTCAACATGATAAGACGTAAATTTAACTTTAAAAAATCTTACTTGTTATGGTTTTATTCTACCTTTTAAACATGTTCATTATTTATTTATGTAACTTATATCTGAAATATAATTAACCTGCATTATTTCCGCCGTTTGGTCTCAGAAATAAGCAAATTTTATTAGCTTCAATATTTTTCTGCATTTTTTTTGTTATTACCCAGACTCCTTATCTATACGAAAGATCAGATCTTTCCTCGTTAACGTCAATTCTACGTTAAAGTGTTTTCACCACTCCCACATGGTACCAGCACCCAAAATCCGAATCAGCATTAACAGTGCGTCATCATGAAAGCTTAAAATCAGTCAGGTGTTTCTAATATCTTATAAGATTGAAATAAGCAAATAATCGATTATCCAACAAGCAACAATACGATATACAAACTCATGATCCTCGCCTTCAGAGAGCAGAAAACCTCAGACAATTTGTCCCCGTGTCTCTGAAGCACTGCTGTGGGGAATTCCTAATTTGCAGCCACAAATATCCCAGCCCTCCCGCTGAGACAAATGACTGAGACAACATCGTTGAAATGAAGCCAGTGAAATTAGCACGTGCTGTTCTATTGTTGAGCCAACAGAGCATCAAACTTTGTACCAAGGTCACAAAAATATGTGCGACTTGCTTCATTTACTCGCCTCAATAACATTATTATAATATCAACAATTATAAAACTTCTAATTGGTAATTTTTCCACAGCCTGTCATTTTTTCCTCTTATATGACGAATACAGTTCCTTGGCTGATAATATTTGTCAGTTGACGAAAGTCTATATAGACTTGGTTCAAATTAAAACGTAAGTTTCTAGAACAACAATCTTCGACATTCAGTGCTGAAGACCCATGGCCTGTTAAATTGAGTAGCCCTGTTTGCGATCCCCACAGGGAAGTGTCGTACATCTGGTTCTGTACGGATTAGCTCAGTGAAAGGACACACAGCACATGCCCTGGCGTTAATGAACGCGACGTGTGTGCGTGTCAGCCTGTCGCACGGATGCCGGGTGGGTACACAGTTACAGTAAATCTGTTCGCTATTTGGGCAAGAGATAACCCGAAATGTGCATAAATAACGTTGCTTTGACATCACGAAGCAGAAGAAACCATTAGCTCGCTGAGAAATTATTATTATTGTGTGCGATAACGTGAACTGGAAAGGATCACTCTTGCATTATCTCCACTTTTCAATTATATCAGCCACATATGAGTCTATTCCTGAAGATGGCTGTCTTCTCGGTTGTAGTTTGGTAAACTTGTAGCAGACTACAAACCCAGAAGACAGCCATCTTCGTACTACACCGCTGTGAAACGTCAAATACTACCAAATTAATTCATTTATGTTCGTTTTATCTTCTTATGTTTTAATCTTGTGGTAGAAATAAGCTCTAGAAGTTCATTGACGCAAAACAATAAGAGTCTCGTTAACGAGGCTAATAGAGAACATCCGTGCCCCGAACAAAAATCCCAAAGTTAAATTACTTCTACGGTAACCCGGCCTGCATTTGTAATACTTGTACAAACATTTTTAAAGTAAATTTCGTCGGCACATATCTTTAGAAAAAACATTACGGAAAATATAGCAGAGCTGAAATACCGACTGAGCTTCTTCGCAACTGAAGTATGGAGTGTCTGGGCCGCCTGGTAGTGGGGCCGTCAAACCCCTCGTGTTTTTCCCCCGCCCCCCAATCTTGAAGTTTGCTTCCACAGCTGCCGTTGATAATTCAGGAAATTACATGCAGCGAGATGGAAAAAAAAAGGTCCATCAAACAGGAATGCGATATTTCATTTGCGTTCACTCCTGTACCTTGTTTTTGCGCGAAATGCTGCAAATTGGGTCGGAACTCACGGCTCTGACTCGACGTCCCAAACTGAGTGTTACGCATTCAGCACACAAAGTTTTCCTGCGAAAGGTCTTTCTTGTCTCTGTCATTTTAATTCCTTCCCACGTTGCGCACGAGGTAACTCGATTAACATCACTGACCATTCTGGTCGGTATTCGTTGTCCAAGAGCATTGGAAATTGAATTGAAGAAATTATTGTAGCTCATATAAGGATTCCCTTTCTCTGTGGATAAATGATAATGCTAATCGTGAAAATTACTGTTTTCTAGGATGAAGCGCCTTGTCATCTGGCAGAGGCTAACCGACGTTACAGAGGTCCCTGCTGCCTCCATCATCAGGGCACTAATCGCCCAAGCATATCTGAGAAGTGGACAAACTTCTAACAAACTATACGGCACATAACCCCAGAAATTATCTTCATACCTACAGTCGTGAGAACCTGAAATCTTACCAGATTTAATACACCGCCATGTTTAAAAATAAAAAAACGCTGTTATAATTGCAGACTGGGCTCTGGCTATCCTGAATGTTTCAATAAGGGACTAAATATATTAATTGGAAGATCTTCTTTCATTGGTATCACTTACAGGAACAACAACAACAACAAAAGTCATTATAGGCATAAGGAAATGTTTCATTAGAAACTGTTTATAACATCTATAAGGATTCGTCGAAAATGCTATGTATAGCCTGAGAACAGTACAACAAATTGCAAGACCAAACACACTTCACATAGCCGATTAACGTGTTTAACGTTATGCCTGTATAAAACTTTTCCGTCGCATCATACACACATAAAATAGACAATAGGTCGTGTTCTACCAACAAATAAACAACTTTAAGTGGGGGAAACCGACAGCGATCCAGCGTTCTAAACATCACGTTACAAAGTCCACAGGGAAGCAATTTTAGGGTTCCCAAGAGTCAGAGTCCATTCTTCTGAACCTCTTGGCTTTTACCTGTCCCTTGTTTCAATTAAGTATTAAGAATACACATATTGATGGTGCAGATTTTAGGCAAAATAGATCTTATCGTCACAAATGGGAATTTTTAACTATAAACAATAACCACCATGGCGTTCCTGTGAATTTTCTGCGTTATATTGAACACTAGCTCTATTAATCATAAGAGCCCAAAGTTTTTGTGGCGACAGATATGTTCAAAGCACCAAACTACAAGCATTATTTATTCTGCCCGTAGAACCACGTTCATAGTCTACAAACGTATTTAACATTAATTATGTGGGTGTATTAAATTATACTTAGTACATATGTACTCTAGAATGTTAGTAAACAGGATGGGTATTTTGATTATTTCGGTGCATATAAACTGTAACAGCAAATTAAATCTTCAACCTTTGGAATCCTAAACACACCGGATAACTTACCTCCTTTGCACGGGTCCAGGTCAATATCGTCGGAGATGCGACTGGCAAACCGCGTGTTGAGGAGTTCTTCAGCGGTGAATCTCATTGTGCGGTGAAGTTGCCACTCTGTCGCGTTAGGTCCCGAAAAAGTTGACATGGCAACCGTGGGGATGGTCAGAGGGGCAGCCAACCCAAACCACAGCAGAACCCTGCACGCTAGCAGCAGTCTCAAAACTGCTAGACCAGCACCGACACTCACGAAGAAAGTCTTCCTGGACATTTCTCCAGACATCCTCTGGCACTCTGGCACCAACTGAGATTGTTCTGACCTCCCCCAAATACAGACAAGAACTAACTTGTAACGATAAAACTATTTTAAAACACGGTCATACATAAATATCATACTTGAGGGATAGGATTGCATTTTATTCAAAGTTTCATAAATGATTTGGCATTGAAGTGATCGTGTAAATAAGCGGATTCTTCACCATATTCAGCAGAGTCCTTATGGTCTGTGTATGAAAGCAGTATATAACTAGCAGGCCAGCTGAGCACTGCAGACTTGAAGAAGTGATAAGCACGATACGAAAGCTTGGCGACAGGGTCACTGCACAATGTTCATGGCTAGTTACAAAACTACATTAAAATGTTTGAGCGCGATCGAATACCTTGTTCCTTATTCTGAAAAAAGAGTTTCTGAAATAATTACTTCACTAGATTTTAAACCATATGAAAATGGAATATGATAAATTATATGCTACTGTGACTTTTGAAACAAAGTTTAGTTCGCTAAACAAGGGCGTCCTCGTCTTATGTTCTCGTGATACAAGCTATTTCACTATCAGAGACAATTTAACTGAAACAATTTTCCACATTAGAGAGATTAAAACGTTACTTTGATCGTTATTTGAAGTAGTTCCTTAGGAAAACAGAATAAAGGGAGAAACAGAATTTTACCAATTTTAACTTTGTTACAACTTTCGGGTAAGGCTTTTCAGAAAATTTAACTGAAAATTATATACATGATAGGACCTATAATGACAGACTCAAACTGAATTTAACTAAATTTATACTAAAATAGGTATAGTTAAGTAATTTTACGATGAAATTTAATCTAAATTTTATAATGCAATTTCCGTATATGAACATTTCTGACTCAGCTATCCACGGCATGCATAAATTTATCACTCAAAAATATCAGTCGGTACTGTGGGTCGTAGTTAAATGAGCCTTACAAAGTACTGCAGGTCCCGCATTTAGTATTAAATAATAGCCAATTTACAATATCCTTACAGGAGTGTCATTACAAATAAAAATAATTACCGGAATATGTATCTCAACAGAAACTTCCCATTGAAATTTTAATTGTAGTCATTGCAAAACACGTGTATTCTTTACATGCCGTCTCGATTATATCGTTTGGGAACATTTAAAAACATCACTAAAATAACGAGGGTCTCATTTAATAAATCAAATTCCAATTTCATTAAAACTCATATTTTAGTTCAAGCACACGTATTCAAAAATATAAATTTCACTGATATAAACGTTTCTTCTAACTCATACTAAAACTGAAACAATTTGCTGGTATAAATTTAATAAAGCGGTCATCACTTGTCACCCCGCACAACAGAGCACGACTGGACGTGGTGGATGCGGCGATGAGGCCTGCTAGACACGTCTGCACGTGGTCAAAGTCAACCGGGCGGCCTGCCAACCTTCTGCCTCTCTCTCTGCTTGGCTTCAACTCAACGACCAGCAACTACCCTTTCACCCCACCCCTTGGTCTTCTCCTGCGTCAGCGCGCAGCTCCAGCCACTGCCACCCCCTGTGACATTCAATTTTCTACGTACACATGTGTCTGTGTTCGGGAGAACACTTATCGGCTGACTGGCTGATTCTCATTTATACTTACTCCCCACACCCCCTAGTAGGACCTGTGTGAAAATATTTGGAGAAATTCGCTATTCGACCTTTAAATTCGTATACTTTTCTATTTCCATCCCAAATTTATTCAAATTATGATATATACTTGGTGCAACAAAAATAACATATTTTAAAATGGCTGAATGTAAATATTATTACGTTAATCTTGCCCGCTCGGATGACGTTACAGCCGAGGAGACAAAGACGTTGTTAGTTGTAAAATTACCGATAGAATATGTGACCGAATTTTGATAAAACATTCAATTTTAACAATCAAAATGGGATATGAATTAGTGTAACGAAACAACCAAACTGAATACAAATTTTTGTACTTAGGTATATCCTGCACAATTTTACATTGAATTTTATTCAAATGCGCAAAACCGTTCGTTTTTACAATTATACAAAAGTCTTTGTTTGAAATGAGGGACTCAATTCCTCTTGTTTTAACAGTTCTTATTCGTGAGCGCCAGAATGAGGCCAATTAACATTTTGCACTTTCGCAGATTAATTTAATCGCCGACTCTGGTTTCCTAGACATACCACCTTCGATTCTCAACCAGGAGCACCCGCTCTTTTAACTCAGATGTTACGTGGTTTTCCTTACCACATCCACGCGCATTCTGGGGTTTTAACTTGAAATAGGCCAAGGCAGATGCATTCCTATTTCCTATTACCTATTAGCAGGTGAGTGTTGAACATGTTACCATGCATATTTCACATGTCATATGTTACTAATTGGTTACGTCATCTTGTTCCTAAGATGTTTCCACTTTATGTGGGTCGTCTGTCATTAATACCGAAAATTCGACATGTTATTTTCCGTTTTCATAACAAAATGGTTCTAATTATTCGTGTTTTTTCCGTCTAATAACAATTGTATATAAATAAAATTTATACATAAGATATTAAAATATCATTTACATATTTGGTACATCTTTTAACTACATGTTTCGGTTACATTGAACCATCTTCAGGTGTAAAGTTAAAAGTTAAAAATTATAATCTTATAAACTAAAACTTAATTACTGTTGTTGTGTAACTTCTGATGATGTTTACTGTCAAATTCATTGGAATGAGGGTATATTTTGAAGTGATAGTGGTTCAATATTGGCCTGTAACATAAATAATTTAAAATATTTTTAAATATTACTGAACTTGAAAGAACGAGTATAGAAGAAAAAACGGAAAAAACACGAATAATTAAATTTTAATTCACAATATGACGCAATTATATCAACTTATGAAAATGGTTCTAGTAAACTTTTCATATTTTTTAAAGATCAATCTCAAGAACCTATAATGAATAACGAACGTAGTATTTCGCACCACCGCCATGTTTGGTAAAGACGGCAAGTAGTTATAAAATAATATGTAATGGTTTTCAATAACATATTGATACGGATATTAGCAAAATTCGACATATTTATATCTGTAATATGGATATATGTAACTCTGGTGAATCAATGGTGGAGTACACATCTCAGATTCTGCTTAAACATACACCGTCACCGAAAACGAAATTCTCTTACCCCATAACAGTGATGGGTACTGACATTTCGATTTCATAGAAACGAAACTCAACAAAACAGCATTTCAAAACATGATTTTTGAGTTATATGCAGAAAGGATGTTGTTAATTCCTGTAATATTTAAAAGAAAACAATTTAGACGTACATAATCTTTCGGCAGACTGCATTCATTGTACTTAATTACAGCAACTAAACTTTCAATTGACTATCTACATTAACTAATGAAATGGGAAGCAACTGAATGGCTATCGAAATAACAAAATTATAAACTTCGTAATTTTATCTTACAATCAGCTGATGGTCAAACAATTTCATGCGGACTTGAACCTCATCGCCACAACATCGAAAACCTTCCAAACAGTCCCATCCTGAAGAAGGCAGATCCAGTTTGTCTTTTCACAGTCTGCTTCTGCAAGATCCCAGTGACTGAACGGTCTCTTACACTGGGATCTTTCAACTACACGTCTTCCCTCTTTAATACAGGAAATTTGTTTCGGATTGGCAATTACAGATTGAATCCGGGCACTATAAAATTTTCATAGGACGACTAAAGGGAAATGTACTGACTTTCCTGGTAATCCTCTGCCCCTCCAGGAAAATTCCGGCCAATTTTTGGTTCACTAATCATTGTATCAACCAACACTATATAATGCCAATTATAGACATTATCGATGAAAACACATGAGGAAATAGCTAAATAAATATACATTACGTTTCCAGTCCTCAATTCACGTGCTGAGTGGGCCGAGTTTCGGAATGGCGTGTCAGCCTCTCAGCGCGGTCCACACTGATACTCGCTGACCAAATTTCACGGTCGGCACACTGATTACGGAATTCTTTTTACACGCTTAATATTATCACTCTTCCTTCTGAAAATTTCAATCGAACTGGCAGCAAAACACGCCTTATTTCACTTCAAAAATCCGAAATTAAGTTATTTCTCGCTTTGTCAACTTGGATTTTACTTTATCTAAAGTTACCCGCTCTCCTGAATAAAAAACACGGTTTAATGGAAGAATGCAAATGATTAAATTAAAAAAATGGTCTGGCCTGCTCACTATTCCGATTGTCACAAAGGAACTGAGGAAAACCACGAAACATCTTAGCCATTAAAATCGGTTCTCTGGTTGACAATCGAACACCAGATTTCCCGAATACAAAGCTGGGATGTTAATCACTAAACGCGACGTTTAGTTTAAGTTATAATTTACATAAACACTTTGTTTTAAATGATTCAGAGTTTGATACCGATCGTTGCCATGATATAAAAACATAGTAGGAATTAAACATGTCAGTACGATGATAATCACCTGAAGATGGCAATAAAATAAAATCCGAAATCTCATGTATGTCAACTATATCTCAGACAGTGGGCAATGCGAAACATGATTGCAATGTAACTTTCCTGGCGCTAGACTTTGACGAACTGTAGTTACCTTTGCTTGCACCGCGTTAAAATTAGTTCCATTTCCCTGCCAGTCCTCTATTTATACCTACATGAGGGCGGGAAGCCAGAGACGAGACCCTGACCCATTCTTGTCGTGCACTCAGTGGCGGATTGCAACATAACCTAGCTGAAGTCCACAAAGTGCAGTGAAATCAGGAACGCCGTGTTTCCTGCGTCGCGGCGTCTGACTTACCAAAACAATGCCGTGCCTACGCAGGAGCAACGGAACCTCAGGTCCACTCGCTCCAGATCTCAACTTTTATTGAAGTTCAGCTGTTCGGACGCTCTTAACTTTCGAATTCCAGACATATCTCGTCGACGTTAACTACCGTGGTAATCCTCAGTTCCTCCAGGCTTATACGGCACCCTATTAGGTCACGACCGCCTCCTTATATAATCTCACAAGGTATTATTCGTCTTATCATTTGAAAGAATAGACTATACAGCAGCTGACAGCATTGTTAAACGAACAGAAATGAAAGGATTTTATTCAACGTCAGAAAAGCTGGTTCTGCTCTCATATTTGCTGCCGTTTACAAACATCAATTTCTTGTACTTTTATGGCGATCGCCAGAGAAGATGGCTGTATTTTGGATTGTAGCACAGTGTAGTCTCGTAGAAGTTTATCGACGTTTCAGAGGTCATTGCTGCCTCCATCATCAGGTCCTTCTATGAGACTACACGGCTGTACAGTCCAGATGACATCTGCGACAATCTCAAATTCCAAATACTGTTAAGTCCTGATTATCCTACACAAACGGGGCTAAAGGACGGTCGGATAATCTAAAATGTCAAATAATTCAGAAGACGAGTAAAAAAGACAAGGGTAAATATTAATTCGACTTATAATTCAATTTACGATATTATTAAATTACGAAAAAATTGCGATACGGCATCGAATGAAAAAAAATCTCGCTAACAAAGATTGTATTTATTATAATGACTGACTGACTACATGGCTTAAAGAACACGAAGGTTCATCACCGAATTAACCAAAGCCCTCCACCGGACCCTGTCCTGAGCCAACAAAATCCACTCTCCTTCAACTCCTATCTCCCATAGATCCCGCCTGACATTATCCTCCCATCTATGTCTAGGTCTCCCCAGCAGTCTCTTCCCCTCAGGCTTCCCAACCAATACCTGGTGCACACCTCTTGTCCCATCCATGCGCGCTACAAGCCCGGCCCATCTCATTCTTCTTGACTTAATCACCCTGAATAACAGCAGTAGTAATAGAATTCGGAAAGGTTTCGACAGATTCGTAAAAGTAATAGTAACAATAATAATTATATTGAATCCCTTTAATAGATTTTTCTAACAGCAAATATTTCATGACAGGCTGATATATAAATTATATGTATATATAATATATATTAGTACAGAAATCACTTGTTAGTCATATGGTGTCGCTATTATAGTCTCAAGCCAAATTTTAATGTTGAACACAGAGTAAACTTAGGAGGTGGTTGAAAAGGTTTATTAAGGAAACAAGTGCTAGTGAGGTTACAGCACTACACATAACACAAGCAATGTTGCTTTCATACCGTCTTTGAGATTACCTTGCCAGAACTTAAATTTATGCCGAGTGAAACGCTACACAATTTCTTGTTTAGAGATCTTCTTTGACTACAATGGGTGCTACTGGTTCCTTCTGAGATTCTACGTTGGCCTCCAACGTATCGCTGGACTGAGTTGTCACTCCCTCATCAGTGGTGGATTCTGACATGGTGCTTTTCACCTTTCCTATTTGTGTCTGCGACTGACCAGGCTGTGTTCTCCGCTGCAAATCTGAAGAAGATCTTGTTGGGTCACTGCCTATTCGTGGGATCTGCTTGTAAGGGGAGCCTCGATTCTTTTCAGACGCAGATAAGAATTTCTTGCGCTTCATCTTAAGCGCTGCCATAGCATAAGCGCTTACATTAGTTGCGGGCTTCCTTCCAGCTATCATTACAGGGGCAGTGGCAGATATGAGTACACGTTGCAGGTGAGAGGGTTGGCCAGGCCACAGGCCAACAAGATTGTCACGTGTCGTGTTAACGTCAAAATCTTTCATCATGCGACGCTCTCTTTGCCTTGTCTTACGGCCCCCCAGACCTGTGTGGAACGACGCAAATAATTATATCAGCTGTTTTCAGAATAAAGGCTGAAACAAGTGTTTATGTAATTAATGTGTGTCCAGTATGTCAAAGTACGTTCCACACATTAAAGAAGCATATTCCTTACCAGCATTGCAGTATGCATTTACACTGTAGCCAGACTGCTGTAAGATGTCAATCAGTTCGCATCGGAAAGCTGAAATGTCCTGTTTCAATTCATTTATGTCATCCTCGCTGATGGAACTGTGCTCTGCGCCCTGCTGCGACATCATGATGTAGCGTCTCACTAAGTGACGCATAACTTTCTAGTTAAACAAGAACAGCGCCGATCTCTCTACATGTTTCAGCATTTAATTTTTTCTTTTAATTCTACACTAACGTCAGAGCCTTGTTGTTTGATTTCTTTTAAGAACAAAATTAATATATGAAAATGACTGATCCCATAGGGCTGTTTGTATGTAATATACAGATATGCTCACTTCGAATAATAGTAATATCTATGAAAATTATGAAAAGATATTGGTATACTCTTTGTTTTCAAATATAATTTCAAAATTCAATAAATATTCAGTATGTAGCCATGTACTAGTAGTGGCTGAATTAGCAAGAAAAATGATGTAGCATAGAATCTTTAAAAACGATAAAAACCGTGGTTTATAGAGATGAATACTCACCTCATACTTGGACTCTTGTTCTTTTAACAGTTCCTGCAATTAAGGAAGCAAATGCATATTAAAAATAAGATTTGAACTGTTGGCATATTAAAGTCAAATTATTTGAAGCACAAAGTAGATTATTTATGAAGTAAGTTATTCGATGTCATAAAACAACTAGGTTCATCATCATTTAATTCAAGAAATATAATTTTGACTTCAGTATCGAACACAAATTTTGCATGCATAAACTGTTATTGTAAGTTGAATATTCACTATGATAATACAAAATAAAATAACATCCTCAGCAAATCATATCAAATCACATCCCCTAATCACTTGTACGACTGCATAACTCACCTTTTCAAGATCCTCAGACTCACTTGTAACAATTGGTGTACTGTCACAAGAACAGCACTTGGACAATGAGCCTAGATGCAGAATAAACTTCGAGGTTGGAAAAATATTAAATGGTGGAGGAAGAGTGCATTTGTCATCAAAGTAACTGATCCACAATTTGCTGCGAGCAAATTTCCACTCAACATCTTCCTTGCCCTGTTAGGAAAATGACAATTACTTATCTGTTCCTGCTTCCCTTATTACTTGAAATACAGTCACTGTTACCCCAATAAGCTTAGAAGTCTCTATCACAAAGTTCCAGATACTCACAGAAATAAGTTGGTAGGAATTGTTCAACATAGCAATGAGAAGGTTCAAAAGCACCACATTGGTGATGACGGCATATGTGCCCAAGATTATCTTCGCCGAGAACTTGGTGAAGCTCTCGATGTGAGACAGGTTAAACTGGTTCATGTCTATTACCCCAAACACTGTCCAGAACAGCGTCTGCATGGTCTCAAACAAGCTTCCATCAAGAAAGTAAAAAATTACCATTAGTTTTAAATGGAGTTTCACATGATATACTACTGAAGAAATGCAGATTCACACATTGCACATATAAACATACATTGCGAACAATAACAATTACAAGGATGTGTCGGTCATTTTCCTTTTGGAAAAAACAGCTTTTAAATTTAATAAAAAATAAATAGGTTACTCTTGTTTGAGTATCGTCCCAGGATTTCTGGACTTCATGGTGAGCCATCTGAACTCTCAAAACCTGTTTCCTTAAGAAATATTCTAGTATTGTGGATTGTGGCCTTTTGGGTTATAATGTCATACAGTCTTATGGTAATTTTTCAGTAGAATGCATCATTTCCATCTTCAGGATAAAAATTCCATAAGATAGAAGTGATACATTCCTCTGAAATGCTGGTAACCACCTATACTACAGAGTGTCACAACCCATAAGACCACAATCAACATTTCACCATAATGAAACCTCAGGTATTCTAGTCTAGTATTCTCTCATGTATTGTCTTGGTCTCCTGAGTGGTCTCTATGAGATTTTGACCAACATTTTGTAAGAATTGTTTGTTTCTCTCATTCATGCTATGAGTCCAGTCTATTCCAACCTCCTTAATGTAATCATCCCAACAATAGCAGGTAAAAGTACAAACAAATAAGCCCCTCATTGTGAAATTTTCTCCATTATGATGTCACATCTGTCTTAGGATCAAACATTCTCCCCAACCCTTCGTTCTTAGAAATCCTCAATCTCTCTTATACCTTCAGATTTAAAATTAAGTACTAAAATCCTTAGTGTTACAGTTAGTGTTCTGGGCCATAACACTATGTGATCCTGCAGGTAATAGATCCCTCTAAAATACTGGTATCTACGTACAAGTACACACAACATTACAACCCAGAAGAACAACACAAATATGTTCACCACAATGAGAACCTCAAATCTCACTGAATGTTACAGCATGCAGTTATTAAATAGTTTGTCATTTGCTTACCTAGCAAATTTCATTCGAATTTCACAGTCACCACCAGATGGTTCATTCCAGTATGCACTATTTAAGTCTGAAATAGGAGCTGAGGTTACATTGAAGGAGCTCCCTTCTGGATGTGCAGCAGTTATATCTATCTCACAACACTTTCTACTCTCCATCGCAGCATAAAACCAAAGAAGTTGATTCAAACCTAGAAACAGGATTAACAACTGTTACACAGTGAGTAAACAATCAGAAAATATAATCATTTTTGGTTTTATTACATAAATTAATATTCATGAATGCAGCAACTGTGGTTTATTAACTAATTCACTCAGTAAAATGTTGAATATAATCACTTTTATTTATTTATGGTTTATTTAATGATGCTATCAGTAACTCAGAATACATATATATAAAAGTGACTGAAAAGATGTTTAATGAATACTGAATTACATATCAAAGGAAGCAGACATAACCTAACTTCAAATTCCTTTGCTTGGAGGGACTGAGAAAAACTACTTCAGGACAAATAATCTCAAGAACAAGATCTGAACAGGGGGCCTCCTGAATTCAGATCAAGAGTTTTAATCATATGGCTGCTGTGCTTAGTTACAGTGAATCAGATCAAAATAATTCAGTAGACAGAATGCAATACTCTCTACTTGTATTTATTGTGCTATAACAAAAAAACAGGGGAACTCACCACATGAGAAAGCAAACAGTACAAGCACAAACAGCAGGAAGAATCTAACCATGTCAATTGCCATCCGGCTCAAGGAAACCTGCATTGGACCTAGATATGGACTCACAGAGAAGATGTATATCATCCGCAGACAACTGTAATGACACACACTGAGCACTGAGCATTGTACACCTCAATCTACAATGGGAAATAATGTTATATCATTGTATGAAACTTCCAGAGTTCTATATGTTTTATAATTTAATTTAGCTGGATAACACAGACTGAACTGTTGATTTTTTATGACTGTGTGCAATAAAAACTGCTCATAATGGACCTGAAAATTGTTCAGTTTCAGGTAGCTCTTCATTTACCATAGGGATTTGCATATAGGCTACTCAAAAAAAAATACTGCACAGTGTAATTCTCATTTATTTATGAATTTATGATCAAAATCATAAGCCAGAAATTCATGAATGTTGCATTAAACGCAGTGGTTTAAACATTACCCTTCTCTTACATTGGAACGAACTACTATTATCATGCGCTGTGTAGTCTGGTCGATGTTGACCAACGTTTCAGAGGTCATACTGCCTCCGTCATCAGGACAATGAATAACGGAGGCAGTATGACCTCTGAAACGTTGGTAACCATCGACCAGACTACACAGCGCAACGAACCAGAAGACAGAAAGCTTCATGATACATATTATATATCCACTAGAGCGTTAGTGTATAGTACACATACGCAGTTATATTTGTTTGTTTCCTTCTTTTTTAATGCAAATTCCAGGAAGAATAATATGGAACAAAATTATAAGAACAGAAATGAATAAATATTCAAGCATATTATTTTCCTTTAAATATTTCTTTTTTATTCCTGTACTGCATTAACTGTTCACATTGATGAGAAGTAATTCAATCTATATTGGGTTTCACTCTTTTCCATTTAAACCAGGAAACAAAATCCTGTTTTAGACAGGTATTATTGCATGTTAACTTTTTTATTTCTTCCACCATTTCGCAGTTTTTATGAAGAATGAGTAATAAAGGTCTTACCTGAATATGTTTGCTAGAGCCAAAAGAGAATCTGAGAGTACCATAGCATCTATTGCAGGATCCCAGCACTGTGTTTTCTTATTGGAAGCTACTTTCTCGACCCACAACTGTCAAATAGAAGTTCAATACTGCATGGAATCTGTGAGTTTACTTTATATATGATAAGCTATTTAATTTTAGAATCATAGTTTTCTGTGGCATAATATCAGGATAAATTGAATAACTGATGTGAGAATTCTGACTGTCTATGATAGTCATAGAATTAAATCATACAAAACTCTGAAAAAGCAAAGAGTCACCATATGGTAACCTAAGATTGAGAAAAACTCTTAAACTACTACCACTACTACTTACAGCCTCATTGAACAACATATGTGTATTAAAATTAAGTGTATATCAAAGTAAATAATAATATCAATAAGCTCTGCACTGTTTGTTAAAACATTTTCCAATTTTCTGATTATGTAAAACATGCCTGAAACCTATTTTCTTCCAATAAAGAGATAGTCTTGATTTTTCTATATTGTTCAAATATATAAATAAGGTGATTATAAGGAACACCAATATATATTCTTAAGCGCTCTTAATATTTTTACTCTACTTCAAACTGCAGACTTATATGCATACAAATTCAACTTTCCAATTGGAGTTAAACTTATGATATTTCACATTAAAAGCGAAATTACTGGAACATTTTAGTTCCACTATTTTGTTCCTAATACTCCATGTTCTGGCTTTGTATGATGCATTCATAAAGCCTCCCTGACTTTACTGCTATCCTCATAAATTTTAATCTGTTGATATTTTAAATGTAATATTACTTTGTGTTTAAACTGATTTCATAATACTTGATGAAATGTGAATAACCAATGCAAATGAGTTAAATTTAAAACCATTAACAAATCAAATACAATTTCTTGATTTCTGAAAATGTCTTCTTTTGCAGTTCTCAATATAATTAACACCTTTTTAAAACTAATGCTAAACATTATCATAAATATTTTTAATCTAGTGATCAACAGTGAAATTAAAATGTTTGGATTATAATCCCTCAACTGAATTATTTAAACATCTGTAGGTTAAATAAATAAAGAACTTAAAATTACTCTATTCTTTTAATGTATTGTAATTTCCCACATT